GCCCTGAGAGCAAGAGGGGTTGTCTTAATGCTGTGTAACACGTTGCCCCCAAAGCGTAAGGCTTTAAAACGGTCCATCTGTGTGTCTTGGTCTCTCTGGTTTGGCATTTGGGAGCAGTTTGGGCTCAGACTCTCAGGAGGCTGCAGGCATCTGAGAGCCTCTGCTGGGACCAGAGGGTCCATTTCTAAGGTGCTCCCCTCCACAAGGCTGGCGAGATGGGCCTGGCTGCCAGCCTGTCCCCTCATGAGTCTCCACTGCTTGAATGTCCTGACAGTAAGTGCTTGGTTTTCCCCAGAGTAAGTGATTCAAGGACCAAGGCAGAACCTAAAAAAAAAATTGTTTTTCTTCTAGCCTCAGAATTCATGTACCATCCTTTCCACCATGTTCTGTCATCATTGCAGCCCAGCTCTGACTGAGGCCTGGAGGAGACCACAGGGGTGTGAAAACCAAGAGGTCAAGGTAACCTTGGGGCCACCTTGGCCTGGCTGCTACATTCACCATCCCCCCCCCCTCACATCTCTGGCAGAGGTGGGCCTGGGGGTCGGGGGCCCTGCTGAGGACGTCACACCCCCAGGAAAAGGTCTCTTGGGGCTGGAAGCCCAGGAGCTGATGCCTCCAGAGAAGACACCTGAGGTCAGGAGGCTTAGCATCCCTCCCACAAGCACTCTGGAGTTGGGACTCCTGCTCCCTTGGCAGGTGGACACAGGCTGCCCTGGCAAGAAAGGCTTGAGGAACTTCCCTGGGGGCCCAGTGGTTAAGACTGCACTTGTAATGCAGCGGGCATGGGTTCAATCCCTGGTCAGGGAACTAAGATCCCACATGTTGTGCGACATGGCTGAAAAAAAAAGAAAAGGCCTGAGACCAGCAGGTCTGGACCTTGCGCACCCTCACTCTGCTCCTCGCTGGTGTTCTCCAGGGAGGGCAGGTGTGAGCAGGGCAGGGCTCTGCCTACATCAGACCCCACACTCCCCCCAGCCCTGCCTTGCAGGAAAAGTAGCCCTAACAATGGGAGGGGGTGAAAACGGGAGCTGAAGCGCTCGTTCACCACCCTCGGTCCTTCTGGCTGCTGCAAAGGCTTTTCTTCCTGGGGTTTGCAAGCACGAAGCACCCTCAACCCCTCACATTTCAAACAGGGGCCACAGCGTCGGTGGGGACTCAGTTGCCCCCAACAGTGGCAAAGGCCTCCTTTTCCCACTGCTCATGCTTGTGTAGTGTCTGCAGAGCCAGACCTCGGGTTGGGGGCTGGCAGCGGGGCATGCTGGAGACCCAGGTGACTCCGCCACGGCCCCTGGCCCCGAGTTGCTCCAGGTTTAAAGATGTGGAAATGGGCTATTTCGGGGAAGTGTGGTGCCAGGCTCGACCACAAGGGGATGCTGCCGTGCCCTGGGGCCATGACCACAGTCGGGAAGGAGGAAGTAGTCAGGATGTTAGGCTGAGCTTGGTTAAGCCGGGGCACCCAAACAGAAGGGACAGCAAAGGCGCAGAGAGCCTAGCAGAGAAGCGGGGAGAAGCAGGGGAGTGCGGAAATGGACGGGGCTGGTAGGAAATGAGGCTGAAATACAAGGTGGGTTGTCAGGCCAGCTGGAGGCCTCACACTCCACTACAGACCCTGGGGAGCCGCGGAGGACTTCGTGCAAGAGATCAAACTTCGCACCTGAATGGTGAGTCTGGGTTACTGAATATGGCTGATAGGAGGAGGAGAGGGGGCAGCCAGGGGCCCAGCCGCCTATCTCAGGAGAGATGACCCTGGCCGACTCAAGAGCCTTCCCAGTGCAGTCAGGAACGGCGGGTACCGTGGATGTGGAGGGACTGGCTGGTGCCCCTCCCCCCAGCCGGCATAATTCCACGTGGGAGCAGCTTGGCTGCTGCGTGGCGGGGATCTCACCGCAGCAAATCTCTCCTGGAGGGTGGGAGGGGTTCCCTGTGCTGGGACCGCCCCCCAAAGAGTGATTCAATTCTTCTTGGCTTCAGTATAGTTTTTAAAGTTCCCCAACTCACTCTTGGGGGCTTCCTTGATGGCTCAGTGGGTGAAGAATCCACCTGGAGTGCAGGAGATGCAGGTTCGATCCCTGGGTTGGGAAGCTCCTCTGGAGGAGGAAATGGCAATCCATTCAGTATTCCTGCCTAGAAAATCCCATGGACATAGGAGCCTGGCAGGCTACAGTCTGGAGGGTCACAAAGAGCCCCAGCACGGAACCCACTCTTAAAAATACAGGGCCACAGAAGGAAAGAGCACCCTCAGTGGTCACTCTGCCTTCCCTTTGGTTTTTTGGTTTTTTATTAAATTTTGTTTGGCTGCTCCAGGTCTTAGTTGTGGTGTGTGGGATCTAGTTCCCTGACCAGGGATCAAACCTGGGCCCCTGCGTTCTAGCCACTGGACCACCAGGGAAGTCCCCACCTGCCCTTGGTTTGATCCTGTGTAACCCTGCTGGTGGGGATGTGGGGGGCTCACAATGGTGAAAAGCTCTCCAGAGGGAGCGTGTGGAACGAGATCGTTGTGATGGTCGCACAAAAGACTAATAGGCTAAACCCACTTATACACTTGAAAATGGTTTTAGAGTATATGTCTCACATTCCCATTTTTTTAAAAAAACAATGTCCTAGAGAAGCCAGATGTGGATGCACCGCAGGAAGGATGGCCAAGAAGATGGGAGTTACTCCAACAGCCCCTTGATAGCTGTCAAAACTTAAAAGAAGGACCCAGGCACCTTAGAAGAGATCGTCCACCGCGAGAGCCGGTGGTGGAGTCCTTTTGCCTTTTCAGGGGTCTGCACTGGCCCCAGCTACTGACCCCAACGTCCGTGAACAGACGCAGTCTGAGTGTGAGAGGAGAGGTCACATCAGGGCCAGCCCGGGGTCGCTTCACTCAGGGTGTCAGCCACGCATCTGCTCATGTGAGAGGTGTCCAGAGCCTGACCCTTCACAGGAACAAAATGAGAAACACAGCGACCAAGCCAGTGGCACAGAAGGCCTCTCTGTTCAATGCTGTGGGGCTGGGGAGTGGGGCTGGGAATGAGAGGACAGAACTGGACAGAGAGAGGAGCACAGAGGAAGTCGTGGGAAGGGCCTGACACATGCCCTCCGGCCAGGAACCCCCGTCACCTGCAGACGGATCGGCTGTGCTGCCTGGCCAGGCAGAACAGACCCGGCCAGCGTTGTCTTGAGTTTTAAGACAAATCTAACTGTGTACCTTCCCTGGTGGCTCAGATGGTAAAGATTCTGCCCATGACGCAAGAGACCCAGGTGCCACCCCTGCTTCAGGAAGATCCCCTGAAGAAGGAAACAGTGACCCACTCCGATATTCTTGCCTGGAAAACCCATGGACAGAGCCTGGCAGGCTACAGTCCATGGGGTCACAAAGCGTCAGACACGACTGAGCGACTCACACACACAGTGTCCGAGGAGGAGGTAGTGACTGGATCTTATCGTGGCTGCCACTTATGGGGAGGCTAAAAACCACCCCCACCTTCAACAGAGACCACCCCCCATCACCACCATCCCCTACGGTCCCTGAGCATCACTGGGGGGTCCCCTGCCTGCCCTTCGGGGGCATCACTCTCTGCAAATCAGTATGAGCTTCGAGGCGTGTATCTCCCGGAAGACGGGTTACTGTTCACCGCCAGGGTGACGTGGTCCTTGGCCCAAGAGGAACTCTGGGAAGGAAAATGACAGTTTTCAATTTCTGTTTCAAGTTTATGGAAGAACTTTGCTGTAAGAAACACAAGAACTGGTCGGCCCACAGAGAAGTGGTACGAGCCCAGGTGAGGAGGGGTCCCAGGACCACCCCCCACCCCGCAGACGCCACCTGGCTGGTTCCCACCGCCTCGGGCCACAGCGGGGACGTCGACAGTGGCCGTCCCACTTTAAATGTCACCCTCCCAGCATCGCCCCCCCCCCCTCCTGCTTTTTCTCCACAGCCCACGCAAACATCTAACACACTTCGCGCTTGGCTTGTTGGCTGTTTTGCCTCCTCGAAATGTAAGCATCATGAGACCTGCTTCCGGGGGTTTTCTGTCCCCATGTGACTCATATGTGATCAACAACACTTGGCACATACAGGACACAACAGTAAACATTTGTTGAGTGAAGAGCTAAAAGGAGGTGGATGTATGCACACCTCAAGTGAGACCCTGGTTTGTGACATGATAACCGGTTATTTTTATACAGCGTTCTCTCCCAGTCGCAGTGAGGGGGCAGGACTGTCTTCCAGAGTTCTTTTCACTGGCTTCTAGTAGCCTCTTTACCAAATGCCTTGTTTTGGAAAGCTAATCCCTAAATGATTAGGTTAAAATAAAAAGGCCTCTCAAGTTCTTAAAAATGAAAAGGCAGAAAATAGACTTTATTCTGAAAAAGACTTTTAAAAGATTGTTAAAGAAAAGGACATGTTATGTTACTAACACAAATGTTTTTCACCGTCTGAGTTTTCCTTCTCCAAGGCGAGCACTCCAGCCAAGCTTTTGCGGATTGTGTTCAAAGCCCTTGGCCTGTAGAAATCTGGCCTTGCTCATCTTCCCAAGGGGCCTCTCAGGTCTTCTGAGCCAGGCAGGAAGAAGTGTTAGAAGGTAGGTGACTGCTGCGGGCCCACAGGGTTGCAGGCTGGCGCCCATGGGCATTTCCAGGGAGGACCCTGTGCAGGGCCGTCAGCGGGTATCCCAGAGCGCACAGAGACGGCTGAGCGGGTAAGCTCTCTGAAGACCAGACGTGACACCAGATGCCACCGTGTGTCCCCGAGAAGGAGCCGAGATGAAGCAGATCCTCCTCGCCCTGCCAGGGCCACTCAGCCCAGAGGCAGAGTCTGTGCCAAACGCCTCACCCTGGGCAGGAGGGGGGACCGCCTCCAGCACTTCCAGGCACCCCACTCCAGGCTGCGGGAAGCATGGCCCAGCACACGGAGGGCCCTGACCCTCTCGGGCCCCATCCAGAGCCCCGCGGCCGCCCTGGCTGAGCAGGCCAGGCGGTCCTGAGCCCAGGGCCAGGCTCCAACAGATCAAGGAGGCAGTTCAGATGAAGGACCTGGCCAGAGTCACCATGTGATCCACACCACACGCCACGTCCACGGGCTCCCCAGGCATAGTCACCTGAAAAAGCGAGACCCGGCGCACCGTGAGAGGAGGGGGCCTGACCCTGGCTCTGCCTCTGGGTCGGTGACGGAACCGCTCAGCCTCAGCCGCCTACCTGGAAACAGGGGCTTACACGCACCTGGCAGGTCAGCTGGGAAGGGCCATTGCCACTCTGGGCCCCTGCGTGCACCGTCCCAGGGCGTGGACACCCCCCAGAGGCTGCTCCCTGTGAAGGGGACTCCCCAGAGGGGTCTGTCCCAGGGGTCACCAGACAGCTCCCTAAGCGGCTCCAGAAACCGCGGGGCCCACTATGGCCCACTGCCAGCCCAGTGTCTTCACCCGCTTCACCCATCAGCCCCAGGCCTGGGCAGGCTGCTCCCAAGTCCCGTGCACCCTGGAGGAGGGGTGCTGACTGCGTCTCAGAAGGGGCCAGAGGCCTGGCTGGCAGCCCTGCCAACACTTCATCACCGTCAGGGCCAGCCCTCCGGGTGATGTGCAGACAACCCTGCGCGGGTGTGGAGGCTACGGCCTGGCCTGCTGGCCTTTACACAGACGCTCATCATCCCGCAGCTCCACAGCTGAGCCCTGGAGAAGGACACAGACACACACACACTTCACGGTGCCCATGACACAAGCGGGGTCTCCAGGCCCACACAGCCCCCCAGTTCTCCAGGAGAAGGGCACTTGGCTTTCTCCTATTGTTGTTGTATATTTTTTTTTTGTATTATTATTGTTGTTATTATTACTGTTATTGATTCGAATAGGTGATAGTCACATGGCTACCATATAAAATGACATTCAGTAGAAAAGAAAGCTATTATTGCCTCTGGATACCACCAAGTCATCATCTGCCCTGCTCCCCACCTTCCCTCGGAACTGGAAACAACTTCTCACTGGTTTCTGCTCTTCCCAGAGATTCTGGGTGCAGAGAGCCGGTGGGGGTGCGGTGTCTCCTTAGAGCTCCCACCCCGGCTCCTCCTCGGCCTCTGCCAGACACGAGTCCTGGCCGCCCTCCCCAGGGCGGCAAAGTGACAGCTGGAGACAGCTCTGCAACAGCCTGCGGAGTTTACTGAGCTTCCGAGGGGACGGCCCCGGCCAGATGGCCTGGCCTTTTAAAAGCCCAGAGGCAGCAGCGTCCACGGTTCAGAGACAAGTCCATTAAGGGCGCCGGGCCGCAAGGCAAACGGACAGTAGCACCAAGTCATGCTGCCCGCCCTGCTCTAAACAAACGCCCTCAGCAAAACCTGTTACAGGAATCACTGAGCAAACACACTGCGGTGCCCCCGGCTCAATGCAAAGGCTCAGAGCTGCATAAAGTGTTCCGGGCTGGCTATGGAAGCAGAAGAAAACACGCTGCCCGGGGTGACCAGCCAGGTGAGCTCCCAGCAACCTCCCCAGCCACAAGGGCGCCTTTATTGACCTTCCCCGGGGAAGGCCAATCTCTGCGCGCCTCTGTCCTCGTTCCCCAAGGGCTGTGGCCCGAGAGCCCAAAGCAGAGGGGGCCACGTGGCCCTGGCTGACACTGGCCCTGGGAGCCTCTCTGGGGAGAAGCAGGTGGCTCCCCGGCGACCGGCCCCTCAGCCTCTGAACTGAGTCCAAGAGACGGCTGCCCTCAGCCATGTTCTGTTTGTGTCCGCCCCAAGGTTGAAAGGCGTTTCTATTTTAAACCAATTTACACTCCCATTATCGCAAAGGCAAACAGTTCCAGAAGCCGAACCCTATCTGGCCTGAGTAACTCTGAAAAGTATGAGCAGAATTAGTGTAGGAGCAACTCTCTACACAAGGACAAGCTCCCAAGACATACACCCACCAGGTGAAGAACAGAGGACACATGCCCACCAGGTCAGGGACAGAGGAAGGCCGCAAGGACACTGGACCAGCTGTGACCGGGCCGCTAGACTCACCACATCCCCTCTCAGCTGCACCCGGAGACACCCTGCCCAGCACCCAGAGGTGGGGCCACACCCCAGAGGGGAGCCCGCCCAGCCTGAGAGGAGGCCCGGCCCCGCAGCGCACCCTCCCCCAGGGCGTCACAACTGCCAGAGGCCAAGAAAGGGGCCCTGAAGGCAGAGGGTCCCGAGCTTGGACTCCAACCAACCAGAGGGGCGCACAGCGCAGGGGAGGCAGAGTCTGCAAAGGACCAAGTTCACACTGCAGCCCAGCCCAGCGGACAGCTGAGCCTGGGAAGGCAGTGTGCAGGGGCGCAGGCTGGGGGGACAGCCCCACCTTCACCAGCAGAGCGCCTCGCCCCCAGGATGGTCGTCACCCTTCGATGGAAAGGGAGAGCACCGCCTGGGCGGGGGTGCAGCCTGAGCCCAGACCCGCGGGGCCGCTATTGTGCAGAGGTCTCCCACGGCAGAGGACCCAGCTCAGGCCCTCACAGGGGAGGGGGGCCTTGGTGACATCTCAAAGTCAGACACTGAATCCGAATCGGGGCTCTGCTTCTCACTAGGTGTGTGACCTTAAAGAGATCACTGAACCTCTCTGAGCACCAACGTGGAGCAGGAAGACATCCTAGATGCTTCCGGAAAGAGAGGCTTGGATCAGGTGACTCAGACGTCACCTCCTGGGCCTGTGAACCATGAGAAAAGCCCCGGCTCTGTGCGTCTAAGAGTAACCAGTTAGTACTACTATAGGAGCTACAAATACAGTTTTACTTTTTTTTTTCCCTTTTGTGGAATACTTTTTAAATGATGTAACATATCCCCTGCTGAAGATGAGTTAGAAAATCTAGTTTTTAAGGAATAAAAATCACGTGCAATTGTTTTAAGTGAGACAACAGAACAGACTGGAGAAAGGTCCAACTACTCAATATCAGACTAACTTTAAGGATTCCAACCTAGCTGATCCAAAACCTGGCTCCTGTCTCCATTGCTCTCCCCGAGCCCCAGCCCCACATCCTGGAGCTGGCACGGACCTCAGCACCATCCTCCCACCCCAACCAAAAGGTGCCAAGGGGGCGAAGGAGCTCTGCAGATGCCCAAGAGGAGACAGCATGTGGCCCGAGGGCGGCCGTCACAGGAACAGACCAGAGTGTCCTTGCCCTGACGGCGCAGGGGCCGGGAGAATGTCAGAGGGATGCTCGGGGGTCCAGCCTGAAGAGCAAGGGGTCCGCCTGCAGGCCTGGTGCCCCCTGCTCTGCCTCAGAGGCCAAGCCTGGCCTGGCCACCTCAGCAGTGAAGAGACCCTATGATGTCAAACCTGACTTCACAGCTGATGTTCACTCTAATTTAGAGAAAATGAAGGCAGGTGGGGACCCCCGAGTCACAGTGGTCATTCATTCAATACCTGGTTGCTTGGCCATTTCCCAAGCTGCCCCCGCAGAAGGGAGCCCTCTGGGTGGGGTCGGAGTTCCCGAAGGACAAGCGGGATCCTGACTGCCCCACGCCCCCACCCCTGGAGCAGCGGCCACTGCCTGCTGCCGCAGCACCGCTCTTCTCCTGGGCTAGGGTCCCCAGGGGACAGCGGGGCTGCCCCACCAGGCTGGGAACAACTCGGGGACACTCATCTTTCCCCAACAAGTTCAAAGCCTCCCTTCTGACCAGTGTCTTTTAGAGACTGCACCGGAGGCAGGGCCAGCCGAGTTCATGGGAGCCAGGAGAGCCAGCCGCTAAGGGAAGGGCTGGGAGAAACAGCCGCTGAAATACCAAAGCGCCTCCAGACACTTTCTGTGGGTTTTTGACAGATAAATCTTCTTTTTAAAAATTTAAAACATTTCTTTTGCATTTTTATGTGTTTTTTTAAAAGATGCTTTTACACAACCTCAAAACACATTATTAAAAACGACCCTTCAAAACAAAACATTTAGGCACACATGCACACACACACACGCACACAAGCATGCATGCACACGAGTGCCTGCTTCTCTACAGAGACCATCTCCGGAAGGGAAGGATGAAACCAGAAGCTGCCTCTGGGACAGGAGATGGGAGGCTTATTTTTCATAATATGTTTTGTACCAGGTCCATATGTTCTGAACTCAAAAGAATAAATAGCCTTGTTTAGAAGAACTTAAAGAACTGACTTAGTAAACAACGTGAAGATAAACTACAACTGAGGAAGGAATCTCCTTCCCCTTTAATTTTGAAATGAGCCTTTTTGTATAATTACACCCTCCTCCTGAGAAGAGCCTTTATGTTTGAGTCTGGTGGCTGTGGTAAGGCACTCTAAATATTAAACATCCTGCTTTCTTTTAAATTCACTGTAAAACACTCCTCTCCACAGGCCTTGGTAAACAGCTCCTGGCACGTCAGCTCCTTCATCCCGACCCCCTCCCTCGTGGAGAGCCGGGACCCCGGCCTGCAGCTCACTCCTCCCTGAGGCACCCTAAGGACAGCACGAGACCGGAGCCCCGGGACCCGGTCTGACCCGGCTGCCGCGTCCAGTGTCGGCTCCACAGGCACGCCCTCAGAACGCCCGGCCCAGCCTTACCCTCCACGGGAAGTACTGGTCTTCCAGGCGACCGATTCCCAGGCACCCTCGGATGTTCTTGCCCCACACAAACAGCTCTCCTCGGTCTGCAAAGAAAGAACGGTGGCTCGGTTGGGGCTTAGACCAAAGGCAAGTCTCCAAGAGGAGGAAGGGTCATGAGAATAGGCCTTCTAGAAACTGGTACAAAAAGATCAATGTTAACCTTCAATTTCTCCCCAGCTTTATTAATGCTTGCTTTTGAAGGGACAAGTAAACAGTACCATCCCCAAACCAAATCTGGGTCTCCCAGCCCAGATTCACGCAGCGTCCTTCTCAGGGGAGATGAGCACATGCCCAGAGGTGGGCCCGGGGGCTCCTATGCATATAGGCCCCTCTGCTCAGCCCTTGTGAACAACCCCCATCCAGCTGTGTGACCCTGCCCTCCACAATCCTGAGATCTCAGCATCCTCAAATCCCAGCCACACCCTGAGAGAGTGAGAAGTAGGATAATCTGTCACTCCTTGTCTGGTCTCAGGAGCATTTGGTCAAGTGACACATGGCGATGGGGCGCCTCTCTGGGCTGGGACTACATCTGTGTGCTAGAAGCGGGGGCAGCAGGGGGACCAACAGGCATGTTCCCGTCCTAGTCTGGGGGGAGCCAGTCCAACTGCGAAAAATAAATAACCCAACAAATGCATGATTTCCAACTGTAACAAGCACCACGAAGGAAGAGGCAGGCAGAGTGCTGCAGGGACAGGCCAGGGCACTGAAGCCAGACTGGGGCTCTGGGAACCGCAGCCTCCAGGACGAAGCCCCAGACTGGGAAGGGCTCTCGGTCCAGACTTCCTCCTGCACCGGCGTGGGGCGTCCTCAGCAGAGGCATTCACCAGCCCCAGTGGGCAGCAGCCTCTGGTCGTGGGAAGAAGAAAGGACACTAGGAGCTGGGACTGAAGCCACCTGCTGACTCAGTAACGGGCCCTTCGGTGACGTCAGAGCCCTCTGCTCGGCCCGCTCTCCTGGCCTTCCCCCTGAGAGGACACCTCAGGGCGAACCAACTCCAACCACCAGGTGGCCGCAGGCAAACGCCAGGCCCAGCAACAGGGGAGACACCGGGCCCCGGGGCGCCCTCGACTGAGGGACAGTCACTGGGAGGGTGGCTGTTGGTCCTGGGGGAAATCTAAGCAGGATTTCATTTCCGTGTGACCCACACGGCTACGTGGCAGAACAGCAGACAAAGGAATCTACCTTAGTCGCAGGTGAAGGCTGTGTGTGGATTCTGAAGTTCGTGACTTTGCACACAGTTTAAGCCTTAAACATTGGAGAAATTACAGATAATCGTTACCTCTAGAATTCACCCATACTGACTCTTCTTTGCCACATGGGAACAGCTTTAAAACACTCATGTGACACACACAATTGCAGATGGAGGTGGCCGACCCTGCGTGGGGGGCGGTGAGGGTTCACCCCAGGTCCCCCTGCTATCACGGGGGTGCCTCAGTGCACAGTCAGACAACACCACACCCACCAGCACAGCAGCTGCTGCTGCTTCAGAACCCCCAAACCCGAAATGCAGGCCGTGACTGAGAGGTGGTGAGGACTCTGGAACCTCCAGAGAGTGCTTATCTGGAGCGGTCCTCACGTTAGCAGGAGGCCAGAGAACACAGACGAAGATGACCCCAAACTGACTGTCCCAGCCCAGATGTTTTAAGAAGAAAATAACTACTTGCCATGAGACGAAAAGGGCTTTAAGTTGCAAGGAAAAAGCGAATTTATAATACTTAAAAGTCATAAAATGAAATCTATTTAGCTCAGTGTTACATTTCAAGTCAACTAGAGAGAAGCAAATTGGCCCGACAGCCGCAGTGGCGGGATGAGGGCTGTAATCACGAAGCGCAGACACGCTGGAGGTCTGCAGGGTAACTGGAGAACTCATGGCTTTTTAACTGGGCAGACCTCTGAGAAAGCCTCCATTTCCGCCTCCCCTTTGATCACTCTCCCCTGGCACTTTGGAGAAACCGGGCACATCCACCTCCTGGAAACCACAGGCCTGTCTGACACATGCGCCTCCTGCGTTCCAGGCTGGATAAGGGGTGGGCGCGGCCAGGGGACCAGGAGGAAGCCCTGCGCAGTCACTTCCTGCTCGCCCACCACGGATGTCGCCAAACCCCCACTGGTTTCCCCCGGGCCCACTCCAGGGTCCCCTCTTCCAACCACCGATGGTGTCCTCTTGAGAAACTCACTGTAACGTTAGCCTAACCACAAACCAGATGAACCGAAAACAAACCTCCGGGATGAAAAGGAGACACACATTACACAACCTCAAGCCAAACAACTTCTGGATCAGCCGCTCTCTTTAATTATCCACACAAGGGCGCCACTCCGCTGGACGGATGGAGCCTGAGAGCGGCCCCCGGCCTGGGGCTGAACCCGAGAGGCAGAGGCCCAGCCAGGCCTTGGGGCCGCACGGGCTCGGTCACTTACTGGTCAGGGCGGCAAAGTGGCTGAGTCCGCAGCGAATGCGGGAAACCTGGACGCCCGGGTTAAACTCCGTCAGGCCAAACAGAGTGGGTGGAATCATTTCTGGAAGAGCGGTTTCCAAGAGGTTTGGTCCCTTCCCAAGAATTCCGTAGCCCCAGACGAAAACATGTCCTTCTCCTGGATTACAGTAAAAACAACGGTCAGGAAGTCAAACCAAGCACAGCCCTCCCTCTCAAGAAATTCAAACCATACCACCAAGATGTGTTACATCCACATGCATTTTTTTTCCTTTTTTCTTTTCCCTCTTCTTGCTTGGCAAGAACATGTTGAGATAGACACTTAAATTAATGTTTCTTTTCTCCTCTTTCAAATTCGTGCTTGTGGAGGATGTCTAGCCAACTAACCAATCTCAGCACACAAACATCCCACATCTTGAGGGTGCTGGACGGGGCTGCTCCATAAATCACCCAGACCCCACGTGAACACAGGGGAGCCTTACAAGGACAGCTTTTCCCGACACAGAGCAGGAGATCGAGCCAAGTACCCACACAACTCCTGGCCAGATTCTAAAACTCGCAATGACTTTCAGGTTATAAGAAGTTTAACACTGATCAGTGGGGCCAGAAGCGTAATCCCAGGGGGCGTGGCTCTCAGGTGCCCGCGGGCTCTCGGCACAGTCTCTCTGGAGAAGGCAGGGCTGGAGTCTTTGGCCCAGGCTTAGGGAGAGGGAGCGAGCAAGCCGGAGGTCTGCGATACAAAGTTCTACGCTGGCTCTTTGTAAACATATAAATCACAGCTGCTAGCCTTCTGTCAAGAACATCAGTCACCCTCCCCCACTGTGGGCTGAACTCTGATCTTCCCACAGGCTCACTGCCCACGCTGAGAGCCGGACCCAGTGGACACCAGCCCTTCCGCACCCATCCCACCCGCAGCTTCCCAGTAAACAGCCCACAAGAGGGGCTCACCGTTTAATACCGCACAGCCTGTGCCCCCACACGCAGCCTGCTTCACCAGCCCCACTCCTGAGAAGGGCAAGCACCGGGGGACGTTCACCTGCATAAGAGGAAGGGGCCACACCATTAGGAGGAAGACAAACCAGCGAGAACTTGGAAACACTGTTTCATGTACAGGGTAGGTGTAAGTCCCAGTTCATTCATGCCCTCCCCTAGAAAATCCCGAATACTGCCCAGGTGCTGAGAGTCTAACAGGGCACAGGGGAGACGAGGGAGAAGGACACCCAGTCCCGCTCTGGGAGTGTAGTCCAGTGGAGGAGGCAGATGTCAGCCAAGATGAACAGAGGATGGACCTGCGCTGAGCACAGTGAAGGGGAGCGGGGGGGGGTCTCAGGGCACGTGTCGGGAGAGCAGTCAGGAGGAAGCAGCCGGGGGGGAGGGAAGGAAACCCCAGGTCGGGCAGGTGGAAGTGCAGAGGGGGTGAGGCGCGCGTGGCCCGTTCAGGAGTTTCAGCAGGTCAGGGTGGCCACAGCCGGAACGAGCGGGAGTACTTGCAAGCTGCCAGTGGAGAGAGGGGAAACCAGACCACGTGGGACAGCGGCTGACCACGGTAAGGATCTGGTCTCTACCCTGAGCGTAACAGGGTGGCAGTACGGGTTCCAAGAGAGAGGGATGTGACTTTGAGAGGGGAAGGTGAGTGGACGTGGGAAACGATGGAGAAGGGCCAGGGTGGGGGGATGAGCACGGATTCACTCCAGGATGTTCTGAACCTGCAGTGCCTAAAGACGGCCAAGTGGCCTACTTAGCCTTCCAGCAGGCTTTGGTCTTGGCACCTCTACTGAGGAGTGACTTTGGAAAGATGGATTTTAAGTGCTTCAGTGACAGGTATGGGTCTTTTCAGAGTCACGGGCAGATGGAGACAGCTGGAGGATAACGACCCCTAAGGTGACTAAAGGGGCTTACTGATCTTAGATGGCACAAGGCTGCTGGCCGGGCCTGGCGTCCACTACCCAGCTCACATGGCTCCTCTGCCCGACTGGGCTCTGGCACAAGGCCCTCAGCAAAGGCTGAGAAACGCTCCAGCAAAGAGCCATGGAAACGCACCACTGCTGGCCCGACAGGGTGAGGCTCAGGCCACATACAGGATCAGGGCTGTGGTGGGCTGCTTCCAAACAAGTGACCTGTCTCCTGCAGGTCACAGTGTGTGCTGTCTGCACCCTGCTGTGTGGGGGGCTGGGTTGCTGACTTGCTTCTACGGAACAGAACTCCGGCAAACGTGAGGGGAAGCCACTGCCGGGATGAGCTTGTAGAGCACTGGCTTCTGTCTCACTGACATGCTCGCTCACCCTCTCGTCTGCTTGCTCGGCTGAAGCCAGCTGCTGTGCTGGGAGCCTCCATGTGGAGAAGCCTGCGTGGCAAGGAGCCGAGGAAGGCTCGGCCAGCCGCTACGAGCTGGCCAGGTGCCAGCAGGACCTGGGGCCCTGGGGCCAGCAGTCCACGGGGACCTGCACCCCGCTGTGAACCACCAGTGTGGGCCCAAAGCAGAGCTTTCCCAAGGTGAACCCCAAGAAAGAGACTCTCAGCCAAAGACCCAGCCAAGCCAGCCCTAGATTTGTCACACAAAAACTGAGAGAATAAATACGGGTTGTTTTAAGCCATTACACGGTAGGGTCCTTTGTTACGCAGCACAGGTAACAACAACGTGACCCTAGACCCGTCCCCACAGGAAGGCCTTGCAGACACTGATCTCAGGCCTTGGTATCAAGAAGCCCAGTCCTTCTCCTGAACACTTTACTTGCAGTTTATCTTAACGGAAACAATGAATCATTAAATGACCACGTTTTCTGGGACTTCCCTGGTGATACAGTGGCTAAGACTCTGAGCTTCCAACTCCAGAAGGTCCGGGTTCAATCCCTGGTCTGGGAACTAGATCCCACATGCCACAACTAAGGTCTGACACAACCAAATGAATAAATAAAAATAAACACATTAAAATAATAAATGACCTTTTCTTCTGTTTTGGCTACTAGAAAGTTCAGAGCCAAATCTGCAGCCACTTCTAGCCACTGTGTCAGACCACACAGAACCAACTATTTTCATCTGATTAGCTGACCTTTAATCCCTTTGTGCATATTTCTTTAGCTATTAACATATATTTAAAACTCTTCTGTATGCTGTCAGAAGCTTAATGATACTAATTTAAATCCTTATCACTTAGAGACACATACTGATTTATAGCTATAAAGTCTAGGATTTGCTTCAAAATAATGTGGGACAGAGAAGTAGATGGAATTCCAGATGCAACAGAACTGGCCATTAGGTGTGTAGGGCTTTCTGGAGAGGATGGTGGGGGAGGGTTAATGAAAATGTTCTGGAATCAGGTACTGGTGACAATTACACAACCTTGTGAATATACTAAAAACCACTAAGTTATACAATTTAAAACAGTAAATTATCTGTTTTTTTAAATGGGCCATTAGTTGGTAATTATTGAATATGGGTAATGGCTACATAGAGATTAATTATGCAATAAGGTCTACTTTTTGCTTATATTTGGGAGTTTCCTTAATAAAATGTTGAAAACCCTACTGCAGTGTACAGATGGCGGCCCCCGGCGGTGAAGGCAGGGCCGTGATGGGGAGACACAGCGTGGGGGGCGCCAGGCTCTCCTGTATGACGTGGGGGCCACACAGCATCTTCATCAGAGGCACACCTCGGACCTGTGTGCTCGGGGGCGCACACGCTGGACGGCAGCAAGAGGCCCCCTGGGGTGTTGCAGGAACGTGTGTAAACAGCCTCACTTCCCCTTGCAGAACAGGACAGGGCACACAGACATACCCAAACTACTGCGCTAAGCCAGGACTAGCTTATCTAGTATTGATAACGATGGCTTTTGAACCTAAGCTTTCTTGCTAGGTTCCAATGAGATCGTCAAGCACTCAGCCCCTTGAAGAGGCAGGCTCAGCTCAGGTGAGGCCTCCACAGCAGTCTGTACATCTCCCCTTGGGGACGGCCCTCTTCTGCATGTCCTTAACACTATTTCCAAGCCCCCAGCCCCAGGCTGCCAATGACCGTGTACCTGTGTGGAGTCGGTGATGGAAGCCAGCTGCAGGTACTCAGAGTTGCCCCAGCCAAAGAGGCCACCGTCGGCTGACACGGCCAGGCAGCAGTCCCCATAGGTGGCCACCTGGACGACGTTCACTCCGGCCAGGTCTCCGCCCAGCCTGGTGGGCGTGCTGGTGATATTGTAGTGACCCAGGCCTGACACGATGGAAAACTGTGTTACTCAAACCCTTGCGCTGACTTACTATGTGCCAAACACAGTTTTACGCACTTTGCAAAGATCAACTCAGAATCCTAGTCAGTTCCCTCCACACACTGCACAGCTTCCTGTTCCAGGTTCTCTAAGAGGAAAACACACCACAGTGATCATTTACACGTAAAACCCTTGATGTTTTCTAAGCCTGACTCAAGTTAGAAACCTTTTCAAGACGAAACGCCACCACACAATGAGCCTATCAGACCTTGTATACAATATACAGGCACAACTCGTTGTATTGCACTTTGCAGGTACTGCACTGTTAACAAATCGAAGGATTGTAGCAACCCTGTATTGTCAGGTGATGGTTAATATTTTGGAGGCACTATTTTTTTAATCAAGATATGTACATTGTTTTTTTTAGACATAATGCTATTGCACACTTAATAGACTACGGTATAAACGTAACTTCTGTATGCACTGGGAAACCAAAGTTATAGCAAGCAATTCCTGAGGCACTGCTGGGCTTGGGAGAAAATAAAGGAAATTTCTGAGAGCCCATGCCATGTCCACCCCTCACGCCATCCCCCCAAAACGACAAATAGAAACTGGCAAACTGGTGTGGTAAACAGTGAGCCGAGGAAAAGGCAGGGCTTGCCAGGAGGGCAAATGTCACCATCAGCTCGGCGATGGAGGGTAACTCCTTGGGCAGCAGATGAGGGAGACCCCCCAAACCACAGAGCCCTGCTTATATTAGGTTTCCTCCAGGGGCCCAAAGCAGTGTCAGACTGGCAACACCTGCCGGCAATAGGCAAGGCAAGACCTATATATCATCTTCTGTGTACACCAAATATAATCTATTTACTAATTTAAAATTGACTCAAAACGTTGAAGGGTTATGAAAGAAAGTGGATACTGAGATAGAAACTGCTTTAGACCCGATGGTCAGGGGAGCCTTCAATGAAGAGACAACCTCAAGCCAAGGTCTGCAGGAAGAAAGGGAGAGTTTTGAAGAAGAGCATGCCAGGCTAAGGGAACAGCGTGTGCAAGGCCCGGCGGCGGCAGAGGAGCGAGGCTCCCGATCAGGGTGCAGGGGGCCCGCAGGGCTGGACTCAGAGCCTGGCGAGCAAGGGCAGTGAGGCCACGTGACCGCGGCGCTTCTGGAGTGGCCCCAGGAAACCAAAGCCCGCTTCTCTCCAGCACTGGGACTTTCGCCTCGTTCCTTGGTCTGTGCTGCCAAAGATGTATCCATTTCATTCTTCTTATAAAAAGCTGATTTTTAAAAGTTACTCACACCAAGATTTGAAAAAATAAAAAGGAAGCTTCAACTTTGCAGATACTAAAGAAACGCACACTTTAAAAACTGGCACTGGGATTAAATTAGGACACTTGAACTGACAATAATCCCTGCTAGAGGAGTGATGATTAAATCAGTACTTCTGTGCACTGAAAATATTCTAATCCTCTGACCCATGCCTGGGAAATTTATCACAGGGCAATAATCCAAATGAAGGGAAAAGCTAGACATGTATATGTGACAAATGTCGTACCTGCGATGGCTACTGCACACCACCCACCCCACCCGCCAAAAGTATGCCTCCTGACTACAGGGTAATGAGTAGCCTGATAAAATAACTGAGTGATTAATTTACTTCACATGAATCAGATGCTCTGTCATACAAATATTAAAAACTGTAACTGCAAATTATACCAACGTGGGAAAATGTTCCATGTAAATTTAACAATAAAACAGGCATATAAAAATCACACCTCTGAGTACCTTAAACGATGTTCACATACGAACAAGGACTAGGAGAAAACATGAGTCAAGGGACAAAGATGATGTGTTGAGGTGGCAGGATGATAGAGGATTTACACAAGGCTTAAATCTTAAATTTAAGGTCCTCCCTTCAGATAAACATGGAACACAAAAAGGATGATAAAGCTCCTCTCTCATTCCTCCCTCCCTTAATCACTTTCTTCGCAAATCAGTTGAAGCTGAGCTCCCATTAGGGGGCATTTGTCTCTGAAAAGACTCAGACTTGTGTGGTGGGGCAGCCCCAGTCCTCTGTCCAGTCCAGGAGCTGGGGGTGAAGGGGAAGAGGGGCGATACGCAGGAAGGGACAGGAGAGGGAAGAGCTGGACAGAGGCAGCTGTGCCACCCCCGGGGAGGGGCCAGGGGGAAGGGACAGTACCTGTCTGCCCGTCTGCACCCCATCCACAAGAATACACTTCTCCTCGATCCGTCAGGAACAGACTGTGGTCCTGACCACAGGCGACCTACCACACAGATGGAGGCGAGATGACAGGTGAGAAGGAATCCTCAGAGCCCCGCTGTCCTGGCCCAAGTGCCCAAAGCCAGGCACCCCCGCCCACCACTCCGGAGGGCCCCGGGGGCCGGGCGGCAGGCTGCCCCGCCCTGCTCCACAGCTGACTCAATCCAGCACAGCCCAGCTGTGTCTCCCGCTCCCGTGAAACTGCTCTGGCTAAAAACAAAACTAAGGTGTCCTAAGGAGCAAACCCCAGAGGCCCTCCACCCCATTCCACCCAAGGAACCACGCCCTCCTCCAGAAGCCCTTCCCTCCTCCCAGTCCACCCCCGGTAGGAGTGACAGATCTCTGGTGCTCTCATAAGTGCTTTCTGTACACACTCATTTTCACAGTTAAGTCTCTACCATGTGCCAGGCACTGTACCATGGATAAGAATAAAATGGTCAGCAGGATAAAGCAGCCTGGAACGCAGCTCAAATTACACTCTGATACGGCTGGTATATAACCTGCCTCTCCCCAGAGTGTTACTCACCCTCCCCAATCTTTATTAAACACTGTATTCCCACAACCTGGCCTAAGCCCTGACCTAGAATAGGCTGGCAACAATACTTACTAAAATCATTTATTAATTCAGAAAATCACAGTAACAGTTTGTCATCACCTCACCCAACTTTCACCCTTTCAAAATCACCTACGGGTGGTGGGGGGGGGGCAGGACCAGTGGTCCTCAGCCGCCATCTCTTACCTGGACCACCTGTCCATCGAAGTCCTGCATCCTATGAACTGTGTGACTTTCACTACAGCCAGGAGAAATTCGGGGAGAAGAATGGTGAGCACTGGGTGATTCCAGCCCCTCTCGTCACCCCAACAGGTGGCCCCCACGTGCACACGGTAACGTTAGAGAAACCGTCAGGGTCAAATACAAGGAAGAGGTAGGTCTGGGCATGAAAGTAAAACGAAAAAAATCCTCTGGTGACTTTAATATTAAGCTGCGGATTTCTGAATGTTATTTAAATCTACCAGCATAATGTGAGGAGCTAGAGGGAAATTTTTTAAAGACTAGCGGAATTTTTAAGTTCATCGGTCTGGTGAAAGCAACAAATGAAATCAAAGACATTCCCACATCAGACGGGGCTCAGGCACCCTCCCTCCCACCCACACCAGAATGATGCTCTCCACCCCTTCCGGGGACCTCCCGCTGCGTTTGACGACTCTGGGGGTCTCTCACATCTCACAAGGTGTTTAACACTCGACACAACCTGGGGAAGGGTTAGCAATTTTGGGAACTCACCTATAAATTTCATTCTCGACCACCTTTCTTCCACACTGCCCGTAAGAATTGTTCCCCATGCTGAAGACTAAAGCATAAAGCGCCAATCAAATCAGCTCTGCACGGCCCTGGAACCCGCAAACGTCAGGACCGGGAGAAGGGTCTCCCATGCGCTCCTAGTCCGACGCTCGCCCCAGCTGCCCCTCGACCTCCTTCTCCAACATTCCCAGACTCTGCAGGCGCCCCGACCGGCGTGCTGGGGCCCGGGCCGGCCGAGACAGCCCGGGCCACTGTTGCCATGCCTTCTGCCTCCCCGCCTGGGCCCTGGGGGGCTTCTCAGGAATGCCACGTGATGAAGTGAGCACATCCCGCGAAAGGAAGGCCTCAGCACCCCATTCCCTGGACCTGTCACTAGGCTGCCCGCAACGCCAAGCCTCCCCCTGAAAGAGCTCCTAACACCACCTTCACCATTTCCTACAAAGCACACTGAGCCAAAAGAGTGAAATCTGAAAACTTCAGTCAACTTGACCTTCCCCTGGAAACAACCGCTCTTCTGAAGAGGGCCAGGAGTGAGCCAGGAGCTTGGACTAGGGAAACTCCCCACCCCCACCCCACGTGGAAGAAGTATCAGCAAACAGGCTGCTCTCAGTACAAGAGTATAAGAAAAAAAGCCATCTACACACACACACACGCACACATAAACACGGTCTGGCGTGTCAGCAAACAGGCTGCTCTCAGTACAAGAGAAAAAGCCATCTACACACACACACGCACACACACACAAACATACACACATACACACACACACACAAACATACACACATACACACACACAAACATACACACATACACACACACACAAACATACACACACACACAAACATATACACATACACACACACATACACACACAAACATACACACATACACACACACACAAACATACACACACACGCACACACACACAAACATACACACAGAGTCTGGCTTGGTGGCTCCAGGGCTAAGGAGAAGTAGGTCATGATACAGTGTGTGCTGTCATGTTTATAAAAATGGACAGAGATTTTCCAAGAACCACAGAGGGCAGAGAACAGGAAAGAGTGGCCAAGGACGGCCCCACACAGCTCTCTTGAGCCATCCCACTAACTTGCTCGGGAAATGCCAATAGCTTCACTAACTAGATGGGGTTCAACCCCACAAGCCGCTTCAGGCCCAACCTCGGGAAAGTGGCCCCCACTCTCCCACGCCCCTGGAACAGGTCCATCACCTCCTTCACCATCCGTCAGGACGAGCGAGTGGGCTCTGCCACAGGAGACCTGCAGCACCCGCGTCTCCTGGGGCCTGTCCAGCGGCAGCGGCACAGGCGAGGGCTCCAACACGTACTCATATCCCCTCGCTGAAACAAGACCAACCAGGTGCACACACGTTACACGGCCTGGGAGACAGATGTTATTGGCAGAGCTAAGACGAGAACTCCAGCCCCACACCCAGCCCCCGGCGTCCATCACACGATGAGTTACTGTAAAGCTTACTTAGTCCTATTAAAGAAAACACTTCCCATGTCATTTAAAACCTGCTGGATTTTTTTGGGGCCACAATGCACAGCCTGCAGAATATTAGCTCCCAGACCAGGGATCGAACCCACATCCCCTACAGCAGTAGTGCGGAGTCTTAACTGCTATACCACCAGGGAAGTCCCACCTTCTGGATTTTTAAGGAAAGGAAAAGCACTTTCTTCCTGCAACCCCCACTAGAATTCATCAGCAGAGTAAAGAATAGCATGCATAGCATGATACCACTTATAGTAAAAGTAAAAAGAACACATAGATGCATATGCTTCCTTCCACATGCACAAAATCTCTCTAGGAGGATAAACTGGAAACTGCTGACATATGCTGTCTTCAGGGAGAAAAGCTGTGTGGCTTGGAGGACAGAGGTGGAAAGCAGACTTGTCACTATATATTCAACTGTGCCTGTAGGATTCTGAAGTGTGTATGTTATCTATTCAAAGAAAATTTTAATATTTAAATAAGCAAGAAAGGGAGGAAAGTGCGTTAGAAGGCACCCCAAAGAAGAACCCTATTGTTCTTTATCATCCTACTGGAGAAGCCAGACAGGCCTACATAGGGAGCTCCTTCCCTGGTGGCTCAGACAGGGAATGAAGGAGGTTCCTGGGTCGGGAAAATCCCCTGGAGGAGGAAATGGCACTCCACTCCAGTATTCTTGCCTGGAGAATGGGGTCGCAAAGAGAGGGACATGACTGAGGTATAACACTTTCACTACAGTAGGTTTTAAACGATGAGCTTCTGAATATTTGTAACAGAGGCGAGAGGTAAGATCTGCAAATGTCCTGGTTCTCAACCACTCATGACCCCACTCTTTTCTCCCATGAACCCCACATTTAAAAACATTTCATTTACCAAATATATGGCACTACTATCATACATGCCTGTTGGTGTTCACTTGTGACTGATATGATTTTCAAACAGAGCTTTTGATCAGCATGGATTAACTGTAATTTATCACAAGAAGCTGATGTAATTCTAAGCTAAACCAAAGGCACTGGACAATGCTGTTAGTGTATCAGCCTTTTTAACCACAAAAATACTGAATTTTAAAATACTGAAAACTTCCCATCTCCTATTACTACAGTCACTGACCCCTCAGGGCCTGGCAAGCAGCAGAGACATAACACTTGCAGGGAATCTGAAGTGTGCAGCTCTCGGGAATCTGGCTCTACTTCCAGCTACCAACCGACAGGAAACAAAGAAGACAGCGGATCACATCAAACAGCACTGCGGGGATGCAATCAGCAAACTCCAGACTGGACACTTCCACGGGACAATCGCCATGATTTCTTCAATGAACAAATACCAAGGAGAAAAAGACGGACACAAACTCAAAAGACTTTCAGAAGTCTTATCAACAAAACAATGTCTGGCCTTTATCTGGACCTTGATTCAAATAAATTTTTAAAAATATAAACCTAATGATATTCATGAGATAATCGGCAATTTAAACATCGGGGGTAGTTCCCTGGTGGTCTAGTGTCAGGATTTGGTACTTTCACTGCTGTGAAAGTTTAATTACCCGGGGTTTAATCTCTGGTCAGGTAAGTGAGATCCTGCAAGCCAAGCAGCACAGCCATAAAAAAAGAATAAAATAAAATAAACACTGGATATCTGATGATATCAAATGACTATATTGCTAATTATTTCTGGGTGTGATAATGATATCTTTTTTTAAAAGAATCCTTAATTTTTTTAGATATGTACTGAAATATTTATGAAAAAAATCAATAATGTTAGGATTTGCTTCAAATTTGTTGAGGGGGATGGTAGAGACTGAATAAAACACGACGAGAGTGAGCTGATGACTGTTGGAGCTGGTGGCAGTACATTGGGTGCGCTAGACTCTTCTGTCCATTTCCATATATAGTAAAGGGCATAAAAAATGTAATGTGGCATCTTGCAGCTAATAAAGACTTCAGTACTAATCTATAAAAGACTTCCAATATAAAATTAAGTGAAGAAAGGCAGAAAACAAAACATATGCTGTAATCAAAATTATATTTTAAATATATTTGCATATGAATAAAGGAATAGGAAAAAATGGGGGGGAAGGCTCATCCAGTCTATTTCTGGGTAATTACCCCTTTATTTTTTTTTTAAATGCTTCTTATTGTACTTATAATTGATTTACTACTGTCTACTTGTAAAACTGTCATTATAAATAATTAACATTTTAACAATTCAAGTTTTGAATACCTGTAATCAAACCTCCATCTTAAAGATTTCATTGAATTTTTCCCCTTAGACCATATTGTAGGCACTGCAGAATATGTCAAGTGATCTCCAAGTTAGGGGAAAAAAGGGTCGTCTCTTTGGGGCCAAAAAGAATACCTTTACTCATCAGCAAATGCTCCTGTGCCTAAAGGATCAATGTTATTACCAAACAGGCTGAAAAATAATCTGGTCTAGATGGTTTCAAACAACACTTTAAAGACTCCATCTATTCTGTTGCTATGGTTTGGTTTATGAAACCATATTCTTAAAAATCAAAGAGTGCCTTTTCAGATTACTCACAGCAGAGAGAAACCAAGGTGAGAATACTTACTTTTGTCTTTCTGGCTCCTGTGAAATCCGAGCTGGGAATCTTTGTTGAGCCCCATACCCCAAACTTTCGTAATGTCCTTGGTTTTAGAGGACAGCAACGTGAATCCATATCCACAGGCAGCAGATGAAATCTGAAAGGAAAAAAAAAATTCCCATAAAGCATTGACTGATATGGGACGTAAGTTTTCCCAGCAATAAATCACAGGTTGTTTATCTATTTCAAGAACCAACACTATTACTATAGCAACTAACACTTACTGGAGGTTTACCATGTGTTAAGGGCTTGATATGCACAATCTCATTTAATCTTCGGTCACCCAACGGTCTAGGTATCAAATGATCCCCATTCACCAAGACACAGTCTCACAGAGAAAACTTGAAGACTATCTTTGTTTTAGTTTGAATCTTGGCAAGATCAAAGGGTTAACCACTGGTAGACCTTTACCAGCTGTGTAACCTGAGACAGACTACTTAACTTCTCTGTGTCTCTTTCCCTATATGCAAAATAGTTAATAATAGTGTCTCTCCTGTAAGTTAGGAGTAGTTGTGAAGACTAAATGAGTTAATATAGTTAAAACTCTTAAGAGTAAACAGTACCTGGCTTAATGTAAGAGCTATATAACGTGATGATTATTATTATCAAGGGTAGTAATAGTAGCATTTGTTATATAAGAAAATCAAACCTCCTAGAGATTAGGTAACTTGCCTAAGCTGTCTGGTTGCGGATTGCGTGCTATTAATCCTTCTGCTTCACTGTTATAGTCTCAAACCACTACTTACATGAAGAATTCTTCCACGAAGAATCACAGCTACCGTGAATACAACACACTGACTGATCCCCACCTTCACAGATCGATAAGGAAACTGAGTCTTCAGTGGGGCTGGAAACAAACCCCAAAGGCAGCCTAGCTTCATAAGGTCAACTCTCTTTCCACGATACCCAGAGTGGCCTGAGACAATCCTGCTTTGCACCTGATGCCCTAAAGTTCACTCTCAAGCAAATGAGAACAAATTAAATGGTCACCCTAATGTTCCTCCACTATCTCTTGGCTGTTTATAGCTTACCAAAGGCTAAGCTAACCTAATCCTGATGAAATGCTAGCTTACCATGATAATGAACAAACATGAGTTTTGTTTTGTTTTTACATTTTTTAATTCCAGCATATCTTGAAGAAAGCGAGCTAAATATTTCTTTTAAATTTGATGACCTGTTTAATTGAGTCATCCAAAAGTTATAGATCCCTCCTCCTGCCCTGTGACATTTTCTCTCATAACATTCACATGGAACATACACAGGTGCACTATTACATTAGTAAAAACAAAAAACAGCTCAGTTCTCAGGTCTCTTGGAATGGCTCCACCTCCAAGGAAATGACCCACTGGGGAGGCAGGAGACATCCCATGACCACACAGCAGGAAACACAGAAAAGTGAGTTCCAAAGCTGATGCCCAGCACACTATATGATTACTCTCATCTGTTTATTCAACATTCAACAAATATTTGGGAAGCACCTGCTATATTATTAAATCTGCCAATATGTGAAAAGGCTTTGAACAATAACTGACACAGTCAGCATTAAGAAGTGTTTGTTATAATAAGGCACCAGAAGGGGACTTTCCAACTCCCGTGGTGTGAAGAGATTAGCTAATCTTTCCCCCAAACAACAAGTATAAAACTGGAGAAAACTGCAAAAAACCAAACCACAACCATTTCAGGGCTCCAGAAGTCAATCAAAGGCAAACCAATCAAGAAATTACTCACAAAGTGCTGCTAGACCTACGGGCAAGAATACCAGGGTTTGTAGACTTCTTGTCCCGAGTTGCTCCAGCTAACCCAGCTTAGAAGTTAGAAAAGTTAGAAAAGGGCAGCGCTGAAGGTGAAAACCACCAGTTTTGCTGCTTAGACAGACTTAATTGGGGGTAAAGGGTGAAAACTCATGCCACACAGCAAATTCAGCAGGAAACAAACAAGATTCACAATTCTGTGAGTCTGAGGTTGCAATCCTGACCGGGGTAAGAGGAGAGGCAGACCAGCCAGCAATGTAACAGGCAGGTCCTAGAAATGAGGGTCACAGAAAGCTCTCACACCTGCATGGCTGACAGGGAAACTGCACAAGGAGCTCCCAGTGGGAAGAAAAGCTGAGGCCGACTTGAGATTAGGCTGAACTTTGAATGTGAGCCCCAACCCACACACAGAATCAAAGGTGGAGAGCAGAAAACTTATTAGCCCAAGGTGTCTGAGCACAGCCTCTGTCCAAATCACTGGCAAACCCCAAGAAGTCTAACTTTAAAAAAAAAAAAAAAGACAGTTTGGGGAGGAAGCCAGAACAAAACAAAAACCCAAGCAAGGTCAGCAGCCACACACAGCAGAGGAGACTGACTGCTGAGATTACAGAAAAGTTAGTTGCTGCTGTTCACTCGCTAAGTCTGTCCGACTCTGTGGCGACCCCACGGACTGTAGCCTGCCAGGCTCCTCTATCCTTGGGATTTCCCAAGAAAGAATACTGGAGTGGGTAGCCATTTCCTCCTCCAGGGGATCTTCCGTTGGGAAGATCCAACGGAATACACATTGGCAGGCGTATTCTTCACCACTGAGCCACCAGGGAAGCCCACATACCATATGTAAAACTTAACTCAAATGACTGACTCACAGACAAAAATATAAGAACTCAAAACTATGAAGATCCTAGACAAAAACATAGGAAAATTATCTTTGCAATCTTGGGATGGGCAAAAAATTCTTAGATACACCAAATGCCTGATCCACACAGAAAACCTCATCAACTGAACTTCATTCAAATTAAAAACTTTTGCTTCCTAAAGGACACTACTAAAATAAAAAGAAAATCAAGGACTGGCAGAAAATATGTGCACATATCATATATGTGATAAAGGACCTACATCCAGGACACATAAATAACTCTCACAACACAGTATTAAGAAGTCAACCTTTCACTGAAGCTTAATCCCGGTTTCTCTGATGCTCCCTATTTAGGGCAAAAGATCATGTTATCCTTGACAGAGAAGTCAGAAGCCAGGTGGTCAAATCTGCTTCTTTTCCACCACTTACCAAGATGTCCACAACCACACCAAGCAAGAACCTATCCTAAACATCCATTTTTGCTTTTCTAAATACTGGCTGCCACAATAAGGCGCCCTCCGGGAGCTGTACTTCACTGCATCTTTTCAAGTCTGAGTCAACTCAGGGGCCTCCTGGGCAGCCATTCCAGTGTGTTTAGACCTTTCATCCTCTCTCTCATTCCTGTTACTACTCCAGTTAACATTTCCTTTCAGAGCTATTCACCGACTCCAGCCGGCCCACATTTTCTCAGACCTTTTGTAGTCCGCTTTCCTAGCAGCAGAACTTCTGGAGTCTGGCCCGAGGGCGAATCCCAAAGTACCGAACACTTAACCAACTGTGGGGCAGTGGGCCGGTCTCTTTACCTCTCAGAGCCTCCCTTTCCTCTCCCGTAACTGTGGCAACGACCCCGGCTCACGGGGTGTCGCGCGAGTGACACAACACCTGGAACGTTTTGGACACTCGGTAAATCCTGGCAGGGCCCTAATACCTTCCCCGAAGTTTGTCCACCGAGCGTCGCCAACCCTCCAAGAGGGTCTCAGGAGGAACGGCGAAGGCTAGAGAGCGGCACCGAGGGAGGGAGGGAAGAGGCCGCAGTCCTCACCTTTTGGTCCAGCTCCAGGCGGTAGGGCACGGCCTGGATTCTGCGGCGCGGCCGCGACCCGGCGCGGGGCTGGGGTCCGGAGCCGGGCAGCACGAAGGTTGGCACGCCCAGCGCCCCGGAGAAGCTGAAGCCCCACACGAAGATGCGGTCAGCGCGAGTCGCACGCTCGCCCACATACTGGAACACGGGCGCATCCGCCTCGGCCTCCGCCGCCTCGCGCCGTCTCCGCGAGCGCCCGGCCGCTGTCCAGTGTCCGCGACCCGGCCCCAGCCCGCTCAACCAGCGCCCCAGCCGAGCGCCCGCCGCCAGCGTCGCCACCCCCATCCTCCGTGTCACGCCTTCTCAACTCCTGGGCGCCGCCATATTGGTGACCCTTGACCTTACGCCCCTGCGGAAGAGCTTTGCGGCCTCGTTTACTATTGGCTGAATGCAAAGGCGCTGAGAGGGCGGCGGGAGGGCTAAGCAGAACCTGGTATCCCCCGATTCTGAGAGATCCTGGGGGATCGGTCGCGGCCCGACTTGGTGCGCAACCTTTCTCCAGGCTTGAAGCTACCCCGAACTCACCTTCCCGCACAGCGCACGTTTGCTAAGCACCTTCCAGCCCCTGGAGAGCCCTTTCATCTTAAAAAAGTCCTTTGCTTTTTTGGCAATCAGCAGAAGTAAAATACTAGGGGTTGCCCGCCCTGCACGACTCCAGCATAGTGCTCCCCCCAATCCACTGTCGCTGATGTCCATGAGATTCTCCAGGCAAGAATACTGAAATGAATTGCCATGCCCTCCTCCTGGGGATCTTCCCCACCCAGGGATTGAACCTGGGTCTATCTGCATTGCAGGCGGACTCTTTACAATCTGAGCCACAAGGGAAGCCTCCCAATTTTAGCTGAGGTTTTTTAATTCAACAACACCTCCCTGGAATTAGATGGGCAAGGATTTTATTAGGGGAAATATCTCTGTAAGAGAAAAAGGAGAAGGGAGGTGCTGGGAAAGCTGGGAGAACCATCAGGCCATGATACAATCTGACTCTAAATGAGGGAGAAGAAGGAAGTCTGAATAAAAGTGTCCTATGCTTACCAAGGAAGGCTTGGTAAGGTCACCAGGGAATCCTGGCGCCCAAGATGACCGTCAGGGGAATCCATGCCTCCCAGGATCTGGTCTGCCTGAGTGTCTATCCCCGCCTCATTCAGTCATTGGGAGTAGTCCAAGGGAAGTATGGCCTCGGTACAAACAGAGGCCAGATTTCATAGCTTTGCTTAATTACATTACCTGTAGTTGGAGGCCTTTGAGGAGCAGTCTCACAGCTACCACATCTTATCACTCAGTTTCCCTCCACCATCCTCTATAAAATAGCCCTACACAAGGGTAAAACATCAATCACATTGCACCACAGAACAGTAGGAACATGTTTCATAGAATGAATACAAGGCACACTCCAGGACAACAAAGCAATCCGAACTGATCTTCTGTGCTTAGCCCCTCAGTCGTGTTGGACTCTTTGTGACCCCCATGGATTGCAGCCCGCCAGGCTCCTCTACTGGAGTGGGTAGCCTTTCCCTTCTCCAGGACATCTCCCCAACCCACGGATGGAACCCTGTTCTCCCTCATTGCAGGCAGATTCTTTACTGTCTGATCTAGAGAAAGTGAAAGTGAAAGTCGCTGAGCCGTGTCCAACTCTTTGGGACCTCAGGGACCATACAGTCCATGGAATTCTCCAGCCCAGAATACTGGAGAGGGTAGCCGTTCCCTTCTCCAGGGCATCTTCCCGACCCAGGAGTCGAACTGTAGTCTCCTGCATTGCAGGCGGATTCTTTACCAACTGATCTTGGGAGTACTTTAAAACTGGATTCGTTCCAGGAGTGGAATTGATTCAAGAAACTCAGTTACAACCGAACAGGCCGATAGGGGGAGCTCTCATACCCAATCAAGCTTCTTCAATTACTCCAAACAAGAGCAGACCAATACCCACATCTGCAACCAGAGGGTGCCTCTACTTTAGCAGCCCAACCAATGATGACCACAACCAGCACCCAGCTACTGCAGCAGACGGTGGGCAGCAGCACAGAGCAGCCTGCTCAGGCAGTGTCACAGCAAAATGCCTCCTATGAAGCACCTCCCCGTGGGAGACTTTCATTGTCCCCCAACAAAAGAGTGGATTTCTGTAAAGTACCAGAGCGCACATCTCCTGTGACCTTTGCCAGCACAGTGCTACCATTCAGTGAGCCGTGGTTCAGTCTTTACCAACGAGGTCTGGGTCTCAGCTCTGGGGGTGGCCTCTTTCTTTTGTTGTTCAGTTGCTCAGTTGGATCGAGACTCTCTGGGACCCCGTGGACTCAGTATGCCAGGTTTCCCTGTCCTTCACAATCTCTGGGGTCCCCTATCTCAGCCCTAGGGTTGGGGACTGCTCCCTGTGTCTACTATGCCTGTATTCTTTAGAGTTATCTTTACTTCATGCTAGCCAAACCCTTGTTACCACTAATAATTCTTCATACTAAACTTCCCCTGTTCAAATCACAGGTGGTTTCTCCTCTCCTCATTGAATTTTGATCCACCAACTAACAAGCTGCTAATTTCATTAAACCCATTTCTAACACTCATTAAACTAATTAGCAAACCCTCTAGTGTTGATGGAAAGAGAGATGCCTGGCAGCTCCCAGGAGCTGCCTCTGGTGTGTGACTCCTTCAATGAAATGCTACCTGACCACACACCAGGAGTGTGTTTGGGACCCCAACCCCAACACCCCCAGGAGGGCGGGGTGGTCAGAGCTGAGTGCGAAGGTGACAGGTAAGAGACAAGGTTGGAGAGGAAGAAGGACGGCAGATCACTCTGACCTCTTGGCCATGGCAAAGTTTGGGGCTTTTACCTGGGTTTGTGACTCTATAGATGTGTGCTGGAGCAGGTGCATCCAGTGTCCTCAGTCAGCCCTCTCGGCCTTAGTCTGACACCTCTGACATGGTGGGGTGAGCAGTTCCATGCAAGGTTTGGCTCTCTTCAAGCTTCTTGTCCTATGTGCATGCCAGGCATTTTTAAATCTCTACCAAACACTTCAGAGATGCCTCAGACACAGAGAGGGGCTCACACACACACACACAGCCTGGAAGAGACGAGGAATTAACACCCTAAGGCAAACTTCAACCAATGGGGTTAGGAGCCCATGCATAAATGCTACCAGTGAGGCCTATTTAGGGAGGCTGGCTGTGCACTTCTCAGGATCCTGGCAGAATCAGGAGCCCACGAACCACAGAGGCAGACTCAACAGTGCCCCTTATATCTGCCTTTCCTGCCTGACTCTTGCCACACCTCTCTGCTCTTTCCTGGGGAACACAGTTGGGACACACATTTCTAGCAGCTCACACTGGTTTCCTCGCCCTGTCTTACCTGCTGCTGCTGCTGCGTCGCTTTGGTCGTGTCCGACTCTGTGCAACCCCATAGACGGCAGCCCACCATGCTCCGCCATCCCTGGGATTTTCCAGGCAAGAACACTGGAGTGGGTTGCCATTTCCTTCTCCAGTGCATGAAAGTGAAAAGTGAACGTGAAAGTGAAGTCGTGTCCAACTCTTCGTGACCCCATGGACTGCAGCCCACCAGGCTCCTCCATCCATGGGATTTTCCAGGCAAGAGTACTGGAGTGGGCTGCCATTGCCTTCTCTGTGTCTTGACCTAGGCGGTATTAAATGAGAAGCCACACTGCACCCGAGGTGGAACTGTAGACCTGAGAGCCCGTTTGGCTCCTGCAAACACCAGATGGATAATGGCAGACAACTGTAAACTACTATGAACTAAGCCAATTGCTTAATCCAATCATGGCTTTCGAGTCAGGGGTGGTATTTTACTAGAACAGATCAACACGGTTTCTGGAACTTCCAGATGATATTGATCTGGTGAATGGGTTCTTTTCAATCCCAGTGGTAAAGAGGACCAAAGGCAGCTTGCCTCTGGATGGGAAGGACAATACTACTTGCTATTTCTCCCTGCCCTCACTACTGAAACCTCCAAAACTAAGGTTCTATGTACAAGACTTTGTGTCCATCTCGGCTTTTATTGATAAAGCTGAGACATATTGATAAAGGAGAACTATGTGAAGATTACTGTATGTGGGTTCTCCTGAGAACCAAGAAGAGGAACAGGATTCCCACTATGTGCCATCTGCAAGCTGGAGACCCAGGAGACTGGGTGTAGTTTTAAACTGGGTGCAGAACTACACTGCTGGTGCAGTTCCAGTGTAGTTCTGGGGTAGTTCCAGTCTGAGCCCAAAGGCCTGAGAACCAGAGCAGCAATGGTGGAAGTTCCAAATCAAGGGCAGGAGAAGATCAATGTCCCAGGTCAAACAGGCAGAGAGAAAGAAAAGAACATTTCAACCTTCTTTGCCTTTTTGTTCTACTGGGGCCGTCAGTGGGCTGGCTGAGGCCCAGGCACGTTGGGGAGGGCCAGCTTCTGTACTCAGTTGACCCATACAAGTGCTCATCTCTTCCAGAAACACCATCACAGGCACACTCAGAAATGTTTAACCACCTCTGGGCATTCTGTGGCCCAGCTCAGTTGACATATTAAATCAACCATCACAATTAGTAATATAGTTATGATATACTTGTATAGGTATAAAATGCATATATAATTGTCAACTGTTCTTTCATAAGCAGGGCTGTCTTTTTATCTAGTGCATTTTTTTGTTTTATTTTCTTTTTCATTTTTTGGTTTTAAATATCTGTTCTTTTGCAAAACTGACAATGCTGGTATATAGTAGGCTTTACTTGCCAGAATTAAACAATCAATAACCCTACACGGGTCTTTTGAATTTCCAGAACAATTTTCTTTTAAGGGATATCTGAAAGAACCATTGGTTTGAGATTTGGGAACAAAAGGGCGCCGAGTCATACTCTGCAAGGTGAACCAGAGCCACTGGGTGGCAATGTTTGCCCATTAGTTTTCTGGCTCCCACTAAGGAAGACAGGATAAAACAGCCGAAAAGTTGAGTTTGGCCCAAGGAGACCTGGATTTAGTCACACCTGGGCTTTTACCTTTTGCTATCAAAGCCTGGTTGGTTTTCTATACTGGCTTTATGCTGGCAAAGACTTACATTTTTGTCCAAATTGCTATTCTGAAAAGATGGTCCTACAGCAAAATATCAGTTACCCCCAAATGTTAAAATGTCTGTGAATTGTTAGCCAAACTAAATCTTCTCCCCACTCATAATGTCATCTTTCCGTAGACATCCTAATTTTTTTGTTACTTTGGGATAGCTAAAATTCTCCAATTAGGGAAAGAGTGAACTTAATTAGTCCTATATATTTTAATTTTTATTATTAACTTTGAATTATACAATTAATCT